TATTTTATAGAAAAAACACCTCATGGGAAGTCTTCTTTTCTTTTTCTGTAAAGTTAATTATAATTAACGACCTTATAGTGTGACCGCATCTTTTTTAATCATGATTAGAGCGGCAACACTACATTTAATCGCGATTAACACTATCCAGATCCGGCAGTATGGCAGCTGTACGCATACATCACGTATACCTGACGTCCATCACGGTTGGTATGTGTAACGAAACTGTATGCACTGTGCGCATACCGTGCGTGACATGATTTTCTCTCTCTGTACAGTTTCATAGTAACATGTTTATCCGATTTCAATGATAAACTTCTAGAAATGGTACATGGTGCACATTGTACGCATAATACGCATTCTGTACAGTAAATACGCCTGACGCACGCGTACGGCACGCGCACGTTATGTACAGAGCGTGACATGCGCGTATGGCCCGATCCGGGTGATCGTGATTACCCTATTCGTCTTTCAATCATGTATAAAGTTACTCATAATTAAGTTCGCGGTCACACTACGAATTAATCGTGATTAAGGCTGTAGTGTGTGTCAGAGAGTATATACACGAGGAGAGCAATGTTTCCCTTTGTTGTTGTGTAAGTGTGTGTAAGTGTATATGTATATGTTTTGTTCCTTTTTTCTAATGTCTATTCTCTTCCAAATGTATCCTAATGCAGTATATGCGAGATAAGGATAGAGACAAAAATGCTCGAGTTCTAATGAGAAGGTGAAACAAACAAGATCAAGTGAATCGATGGAATTAGCTTAATTTATTTATATTTATACTTGTTAAAGTTAAATTTTCTTACGGATGTTTTTCCCTATCAATAATGCTATCCAAAATGATGTTCGAGTTTTAGTTACTTAATACATCTCAGTGAGCCTTAATACAGTTTTCTCCACTTAACATCTTACGACTTTCTATATTATGCAGCTATTTTACGAATTTTTATATACGAATTGCTATATTTATTTTAACAATTTATGAGTTACACTTTTATTGAAAGGAGAAGATGTTAAAAGATCAGTATTAAATTCAGAAAACTTAGAAAGCTAATGGATTAATAATCGCCGTTGGTAATAATAATTTGTTTTTTTGTATCTCATGTGTTGATTTCGAAAACTGCTGCAAGTTCCTCGATAATATAATCGACAATATATTGTGATTCCATAGTATCGATACTGTTCTCATTAAAAATATTTAACGTTGCAGTTTTGACCATGTTTAGCATATTTTCACGACGATTATGTTGATTTTCTGTAACATTATTTTTTTGACCGATCATACACTGTGTTGGATACTAGGGTAATAATTAATGATCGTAGGAAATGAATTTGATCAACTAAGTCTCCATGATCAGTACGAGTGCCCGTAGTGGAGGAAATCATACTATCTTGTTCTTGCATTTGAAAAGAAAATATGTAAAAGGGTCGTTTGTACTGAGGTTTATATAGTTATAATTAATAATCTTAAGGCTTGGTAACTTTTTTAAAAACAGATGTACACTTCAAATAAAACATACTTATAAAATGATCGGTTTAGAAAAGCTATAAGCTGGATCGTCATTAGTGTCTATAGAACCCATTGCTGCTTTTACAATTCCTATTGTTACTATGAATACTAAGAAACTAAAAACGTCTTGATTGCATAATTGATTTCTTATTCATTTTAGGTTCATTGAAAAGCAATGTAATAACGAAATCTTAAGGCTATAGAGATCGCGTTTAAAACAATACAAGAAATAAGGACAACGAATATACATATATATATATGACAGTCTGTTTATTATACATCGATTACTGATAGAGGCGGAAAAATATATATATGTATATTTATATTAATTATGCACGTTTAAACTGTTTGTCATTTGATTCCTTGTGTGCTTTCTTCTCTACTTGAAAATATATATTGAAAAGATTCCTGTGTTAGATCCCTTTGGGTGTTGTCTAGCGCTATTTGTGTTGTAATCTTTACGATCTAAGGTTATTGAACATTTCCGTTTTATTCGTTCTCAATAAGGAGCTCTGATGTTGTTTGGTTGATATTGTAGAACTTATTGTCTTACAATTTTCAGACGATCTCAAATGACCAGTTGGTCGAGGTCGTGATTCAAGGTCCTGCACTTTGTGTAATGATGGATCAGTGGCCTCATGGATGTTATCAAAAATACAATTGGTACCATTTTCGGTTATCTCTTTAGCGTGAATACGTCCTTTAACGTTATCCAAATCAGATTGAGAAAATGTTTGTGTATTCTGTTCTACGGTAGTGTCGGTATGCATTGAAAACGTCGAAAGAAAAAATGTCGAAAAAGAAATATCGAAAAAAAAACGTCGACGGAAAAAACATGTCAGAAGAATGGATAATGAATCAGAAAGGTAAAAATTTTAGTTTATTTTATTCAACAAAGAGAAAAACAGATGTATTGACGATTAAGATTAACTATTAAAAAGTAATAAATCGTGTTATTAATGTTTTTTGGCAGTGTGTCGTGGGAGGTGGGGGTGGGGGCAGTATGCCAGTGAGTTCGAAAAGTAGTTTCACACAAAACATATTTTCATCATGCGAAACTGTACATCTGTAACTAGATCACACAATAACTATTCACAACCCAACTTCTCTCAGATTTCATGTCGGTCGGTCAAATGTCGGGGTCGCTCAAACGTCGGTTAATTGTTGATAACCTTTGTTGGAATCGCTAGGGGACTATCTGAAATATGTTGTAAATTTTCTCTGATTTCTTGTGTAAGGTTCGTAATCTAATGTAAATCTAAAAGGTTTTCTCGAGACCCTGCAAAGATCTCCAGAAGTCTAAAAATATTTCTGAATTCGAAACAATGCTCACGCCTTCCTTCGGTCGGCGTTCGCTAGGGAGCTATCTAGGGAGACACACAGACAACCATTTTGTAGGACCCTAGACTAAAGTCAAGAGAAAAAAGTTTTCTCGCGACTCTTCAAAGATCCACATAGGTCTCAAAATATTTCTGAATTCCTACTCATCTTCACGTCTTCATCACTCTAAATATGTTCGCATTCCATGTTCTGTTGATGGTTTTCCTCCGCAAACGGTACATTATTCTTTTTTTTACTCAACTATTACTGATTGGAATAATCTCCCAGAGTCAGTTATTTGTCTTTCTTCTTTATCGTCTTTCAAAACAGCTTTATGTCAGTATCTCTTCCAGTAAAACATTTTGTCAGTTATGAATTTATATTTGTTCTCTTTTGCTTATTCTTTTTATTTATTTATTTTTTCAAAAATTTCTTCTTTTTACTACTTCTGGTCCTAACCTTAGTTGTCTTGTTTATTTTGTTCTTTTTATTACTCTTTTTTGTGTTGTTTGGCTTGAGTCATTCTTATTACAGGTTAGTGACCTTTGATGACTCTCACTTTTCGTGAATAAAACAGTCTTAGTCTTATGTTTCTCGCTCAGAGAAACTAATCGAATTTTATACAATTCGATTCAGATTTTCATCTAGATCATGAATATAAGCTTTATTTTGAATAATAAGACTATAGTAATTAAAAAATCAGATTTTTTATTTTTATCTTTCTGAACTATATGTAAAAAGAAAAGACAATTTTTTCTTTTCTTCTCTATACAATGAGTGTCCACGTGATGTCATGTGCTTGTTTTATGCAAGATTTATTCAATCTTTCAAATATCCACAGATCGGCACAAAGTAGCCGCGAAAACATATGCTTAAAATGTTTGTATATACTCAGAATTTTGAGCTCTATCCGAATGTCAAGGCTTCAGAAGGCGGAAACGTATGCTCGGGGAGATATACGCGTTTTAATGAAATTTTGACAAAAATTAAAATCCATTTTTTAACTTAATCATAAAATATTAGAGTTTCTTTCAAAGTTCATTCGATACAGCACATGAAACTCCCTATGCTCACAAAATCCTAAGCTTTCGAATAATCTCCTTCATGATTTTTAAGTTCTTTTAACGAATTTTAGGAAAAAACTCATTTTTTTCAGTTATTTTTAGCAAAAAAAAGATCTCGGACCATTTCCTCCGAGCTGAAAATTTGCAAGGCGAAATATCGGGGGCTTCGGAAACATGTCTCTGAAAAATCTAAATTTAATGTTAAAAATCGGCGGTTTGTGCAGATCGATAGAAAATTGAATTCTGCATCGAGCTATTGAATCAGAAAAATGTTTTAGTTGACGGAAGTGGCTGAATTTCAAGATAACTTTCGAAAAATGTTTTCCGAAAAGCTTTTCCAAACCTTGGAAAATCCGAAGTTTTTGCCGTTTTTCTCTTTTCCTATGCACTGTGGAATCTTCATTTATACATATTCAGATGCAGAATGAAATTTTGCGTCGAATGGCGTATAATTCAATGGGTTTTAAAAGAAAAATTTTCAGGTTTTTCCGCGGTGCGCTGGCCGTTTTTGACAAAACGCTCCAGAGTGTTTTCCGTCATTTCCCGAAAAATTTGACGACGGTTCATGGTAGTACTCTGGGTCTACTTCACGCACGAAACCTCCCTAAAGAGCCCTTCAAACGGACCATCTTCGGTTGCAAAAACCTCTTTGCAAAACAGCCGATGACGTTTTGTCTATGTCTAAAGAATAAACTATTTCTGGAGAACGCTTAACTCAAACCAGTCCAAATTTCTATCATGGATAGTACTCATACCAAGAGAGCTCTGGTAAAAATTTGAGCTCGTTAGCATTTGATTTGACGGAATTATAGCGTAAGCAAAATTTTCGACTGGAAAATCGCTTATTTTGCGTATTTTACGACCTTTTTTGCAAGCACTCTAGCGTCGAGGGAAAGCAGTTTGGAAAAAGATGTCAAGAGACAAAAATGTTCAGGACACATCTCTCTACCTGCTCTGAACATTTGAGAAAAATTGGTGAAAGTTCATTGAGCAACTTAGTTCGTCCCTATCGTGCACTGCCTCTTAGTTTACTACAAGTTATATTAGTGAGCTTAAGATATATCAGTAGTTTTTTCCAAATTTAATATACAAAATGAAAACACATGCTACAAATATAAAAGCATTTCTTTGTCTGTGGCACATTGTTGATCATACAAACACTTGAAATTGTGATTCAGCATTGAATTTTGTGACAATAAATCGGGTTCTCTGAAATAATTAGTAAATTTTGTTGGATACTGTTGATGGGTAAGAGTTTGATTTGGATCAACAGGATTTGAATATGAATGTTGCATCATGATTAGATCAGGAAAAAAATTGAGAGATGATGTCGGAGCAGAACATAATGGAGTTGATGCGACCGCTTGATGCTGATAATAATCGTGATTTTGATAGAAATGAGTATCTGGTGTCATATTGGATGAATACGAAAATGAATAATACGGATGTAGATTAGATGCATAGAATTGTGAAACATATGAATTAGCCTCGAAGAATAAATCATTGGAAATTCAAAAATTTATTTACTTGTACTTTTATCTGTTTGAGGTCCATTTATGTTCAGAAAAAACTGAACGCCTAAAAATATGTAAATAAACTTATGAAATAGGCGTAAAACCACAAGCACCTTGAACAAGACCTTTCGTCTTTATTCATAAGACATCAGTAGTGCTTATTATTTTATGCTTTATTTTATGAATATTTTCATCTTAAATTGATACTAAACTTATAAAGCTCACGAACGAAGCATTGTTAGAGAAAGTAGGGATCTCTATAACAACCAGAATGATTCATGAAAATACTAATATTTTGCTTTTGGGATCATCACACAAGATTTCTTTAAACTCAGTCAGCAGTCAAATTCTCAGTGAATAACACTTACTTTTTGCACTTCCGGATCAGATGAGGTTTGTGGATCTAGAATATAAAAATAGTAAGAAAAACGATAGAAATTTAACAAGAGTTAGTTTATGTCTACCGATGTAATGGCCTTCTAGATCAAGTTCAGGTAATTTGTCCACCACTGGAATATTTGAACGTATATCACTCATAAACGAATCTGTAAAAATGATATATGATTGGTATTAATACGCCGTACTTATCTTGTATCTGTTACCAGTTCGATGATATTCATTGATTATGTCCATCATATCATCATTTGTTGTTGATGTGATGTGATGCCCATTTTGCTCAGTTCTCGTTGTTGTGGCTGTTTGATTTTCAGCACGAACTAAACTTTCAGCATGTAATATGAGAGCTGCTTCGTATGGATCATCGGACAACAAATCGCGCTGTGACTAAAACGAAATAAGGTTGCGACGTAAAATAGCAGAGAGAAATGATATCGTTAGAAAAGTTACTTGAACATAGATCGAACAACGTTTGTTGACTCCAACTTGAGTTGAAAAACCTTCTGTGTCTTGTACACAGGCTACTGATGTACAATGGTATACTAGAAAAGAGAAAAGGTATGTATTCATATAAACTTTAATATCAACAACAATCTTACATCCATTGGGACCTGGGCCTACTTGTGTGTGAGTAGGAACAAAGGCCATTTTGAAGAATTTTAATCTAAAATATACATAAAAACGATCCCTTGATGACTATTTCATTGACAAACTTCTTTTATATAAGTACAAGCAAAAGCGAAATTTCAATTACTGATCTTCCGTCTTCAGTTTTAAAAAGTCGTAAACAACTGTCTTCTTGATTGTTTAAGACATGGCCTTGATGTGAAACTGCACCGTTCATAGAAGAAAATCTAAGAGCTAGATTCACAGAAAGATTCGTCTGAGAAAGACAGCTTGATGTTATCTTTTGCTAAAACAAACTGTGAGAGATATATAGCGATGTTCTCTTTTAATGAGCAGATGAGTACATTGGAAACAGAGTGCCAAAATATCCTGATTTGACCAGGAGACTCCTGATTTTTAGACTATTCTCCTGATTTCTCCTGATTTTCAATTGTTTTCCTGCATCGATTTTAGCAACATTTTCGACCAATAAAAAAACGGAGAAGAAAAAGAGAACTGTCGTGCAATACAGTCATGTTGATGGTTTTTCTCCGAAAACGCTACATTCTTCTTTTTTTTACTCAACTATTACTGATTGGAATAATCTCCCAGAGTCAGTTATTTGTCTTTCTTCTTTATCGTCTTTCAAAACAGCTTTATGTCAGTATCTCTTCCAGTAAAACATTTTGTCAGTTATGAATTTATATTTGTTCTCTTTTGCTTATTCTTTTTATTTATTTATTTTTTCAAAAATTTCTTCTTTTTACTACTTCTGGTCCTAACCTTAGTTGTCTTGTTTATTTTGTTCTTTTTATTACTCTTTTTTGTGTTGTTTGGCTTGAGTCATTCTTATTACAGGTTAGTGACCTTTGATGACTCTCACTTTTCGTGAATAAAACAGTCTTAGTCTTATGTTTCTCGCTCAGAGAAACTAATCGAATTTTATACAATTCGATTCAGATTTTCATCTAGATCATGAATATAAGCT